CACACACACACACACACACACACACACACACACACACACACACACACACACGCACACACACACACACCATCACACACACACACACACACACACACACAGCCATTCGCCATAGTACCTGTCCGTAAAACATCACACAAGATGGCAATCTGTTGCAAACGCTGGTACACATATAAGTTATCACAACATCTTGATAGTCCTACCTACAATCAAGCATCGGAGTCTGTGACCAGCATCCTCGAACGCCATGCGCTTTTCAATCAACGCTTCACAATCTAAACCCTAAATCCGAGCACACAAATCCCCACCCACTCTATGTCCAATTCTCGGATTTACTCAGCGAAACAACCTTTCCCGATCTGCACCTTGCTTAGCACCTCATCTGGGTGGAATAGGGGCTGTTGCAGTGAAAATTTAAAACTCCTTGCTCTGACCTAGACTATTGCGGCTATGGTTGCCTTCTTCCTCAAGAGAAAGTACAACGCTGTCCAATTGCAGAAACAAATGAATGAACTTGAGAGGAGGCAGGGAAAGAAGAAGAAAAAGATGTACACCAGCAAAGACCAATGATAATTCCTTCCTTCTCCGCCAACCACTCTTCTCCTCCTTTTCTCCTCCTCTCTTATTTAAACAATAAATAATAATAATAATGTTGAATGGCTGAACCAGAATCGATGTCCAAGGCCCTCGTCTACTGCAGGTATCACATGAGGTCCACTAAAGCAATGGTGTTACATGCTGCGCCTGCAACAGGCTGCACGGGCCATTTTCAGGCCCGTGTCCTTTTCAGCCCGAAAGCCTGAAAACAAGGGCCCACAGGCCCTGTATCGTTTCAGCCTGAAGGCCTGAAAACAAGGGCCTACAGGCCCTGTGTCATTTCAGCCTAAAACAGGGCCTTTCCGGCCCTGAGTCTTTTCAGCCTGAAACTGAGGGCTATTTTCCGGCCCTCATGAGATTGACCTGCCCTGAAACTCTGGCACCAGACCAGTGTTTTAGCTCAGGCCATTTTTGGCCTATTTTCAAGACAACCTTTGTTTGAGCTTCAACCCCAGGGTCTGGCATGTTTTGGCATTGGCAAGAGCAGCCTCCTACCGGCCAGCACTATATAACACTGGCCCGCCCTGCAGGCTGCAGGTAGTTCCAAGGTACTTCCCAGGCACTTCACGTGCAGTTCAGAAGGCAGGAGGCAGTCTTCAGGATTCGGCAGCAGCTCTCTGGAGGAGCGCTGCAGTAGTAGTAGTGGCGCTAGCAGTAGTCTTCAGTGCTGGGCGCTAGTAGCGTTAGCAGTAGTCTTCAGCGCTGGGCGCTAGTAGGAGCTAGAGTAGTACTGGAGAGAGAGAGAGATTGGGCGGAGGCCAGGGAGACTTACCTGCAGCGCCATACCTCCAGCTTCGTCTTCAAGGTACCTGGAGCACAGCGCCATCTTCACAGGATAATACCTGGCACATGGGAGAGAGAGAGTTCTTCTTCTTCCTCTTCTCAGTCCACCATCTCCCTCTCACCCTCTCGCTACCTGACTTAACTGCATCAGCAGACTACGAGAGAAAGGGAGAGCTTGGTGACATTTGGATCCAGACTCGACATTTGGGCTTCAGACTTTTTTTTTTTTTTTTTTTTTTTTCACAAGAACACGCCCCTGCCAATGTTAGTGATGCTGATAAGAGCAGACACCACTAACACCCAGGGAGAGGCTCCATCTATTGGTGGGGAGCATCACCTGCTGGAAAACGGGTCCAGCGTCCCATATGCAAAAATACATCAGATCTGACAAAAATGTTGGGGGGGGGGGAACCTCTTCACCTTGACTCGGTGCCAGATCCCTACTGCTACAAACTAGTTCCTCCCTCCCCACTCCACAGATGTGACCCTTTTATATACATGAGTATGTGCGTAGAGTTTGACGGGGGATTATTTGGGACTTGTAACGAAGACTTGGTGTTGACGACATTCCCATCTCTCCCCCTCTTCTTCGTCTGTTCCCCTCCTCTTCGTCTGTGCATGATCTGGACCTGGCACATTCTTCCTGTGTGTAGCGCCAGGCCCCTTCACACCTTGTGATGAGGATGATGTATGTTTGGTCTGTACTGCGACATTGATTGGGCTAGTCATTGGTATCCTAGCATTCTGCTACGCTGTCTTGTACCACGAGAGAGAGGTCAGTCCCGGTCAGGTCAGGACTTGTATCTAAGTCCCGCTTGTTGAGATTCCACTTGCACTGCATTGTCCATTCAGTCCTTTTTATCACATCGCGGATCCTTGGCTATTTACATACATCGCCCAACTGGTCATGTAACACATGGCCACTCTTCTTCCTTCCTCCTCAAAGGCCGAGGCTATGGCGGATTACCAGGGCCTTGCCCTGCCAAAGGACAACACAAAGCAGCTATGGCTGCTCCTGCTCAGGCCGTCATGCCTGACTCTGCCTCAAAGCTTCTTGGTGCAGCTCTACCCCAGCGGGGCCTTCCAGATGCAGCGTCCACCAAGGTGATGAAGATGGCATCCTCCATAGTCCTAAGTTCCTCTGGCGCTCTCCCTCTTCCTAGTCCTCGTCTCCCTCCTCCTCCAGCCCGTGCTCCTCCACCATAGCCTTGGTGGAGAGCCGGGCGCTCTGTCCTCCCCAGCAGCGCTGCTCCAAGCAGCGTTGCTCCAGCGAGCGCTCCAAGCAGTGTGTCACCAAACTTGCACACCGAAGAACGAGTACTTTGCTCCTCCTGGAGATATAGTGGCCTGCTTGCCTCTTGGGCGGCGACTTCCTAGGCCGCGCGGCCTCCAAGCAACTGGTACCTCCTCCCTTTTGGAGGGAAACATCATTGCAGACTCTGATATTGCCTGTCAGGCCATAGATGGACTGGTACCCGCCTAGACCTAGCCCACGGCTACTGCGCCTCTAAAAATGCCAACTTTGTCTTCTTCTGCTCAGCCTCAAGTACCCTCTTCCGCCTACCTGCTACTTGAGTGTTTTTTCACTGCTCCAAAGCGTCGTGGGCCTCTTTCCCCGCTACTTGAGTGTTTTCCGCACTGCAACCCTCAATGTCACGGCCACAGGTAAGTATCGGCCCCTCAGGCCTCCCGCACGGTCAAGTACCGGGTCAGACACACACCCAAACGGACAAGCACTCAGACAGGCACGCAGACCAGGAAACACGCACACACTCAGACTTGGAAAACTCAGCAACAAGCGGGAAACTCAGCAAAACTCAGAAATCAGCTATGTGTCTCAGTCCCTGTTTGGAAGGTCCTTGCATCTTCCTCTAACCCTTGCTATGGTGCCTTCTTCCTTCGGTGCAGGTGTCTGTCCAAGTTGAACTGTTGCACGAGCCACCAGCAGCTCGCCCACAACCTTGCGAATGAACAACTGCCTTTCGGCAATGAGAACCTTTGACTGGATGTGGCGTGCTTGGGACCTGTACTGGTCCCCCACAGCCTGTCGGCTGCATGTTTGCTGTTCCGAAGCCTCCGGACTTTCTTGGGATGCTGCTGCAAACTGGACTTTGGGACTGGACATGTCTATCGGGTACTGGTAGACTTTTACAACCTGTGAATTTTAGTTCTGGAACCGAGCGGACTACGACGCTTCGACCTACAGATCCTACAGAACCCCTAAGAACCTGGGGCTGGGCCTACCAAGACCTAGTGGGACTGGGTCCAACTGGGACTCTGGGACCAAGACTTGGGACATGTCCACAGCGTGAAATCCTTTCAGTGTTGGATTTAAAAAAAAAACTGGAGGAACGTGAAAAAAATTGTGAAATACTGACTATGCTCCTAGGCTACCAGCCGGGCCGGCCGGGTCCCGGGTGGCCAGCCCATGCAAAGACCAGAGAAGGTCCCACCAAAAATAAAATAAAATAAAGGCCTCCAAAAAATCCGAAAAACAACTATGTTATGCAGAAAAATAAATTGAACAACTTTTGCCTCAGGGTCACATCGAAATTCTTTACCAAATTTAAAATAAAAAATAAAATAAAATATATATTTATTTATTTTTTTATTTTTTATTTTTTATTTTTTATTTTTTATTTTTTATTATTTGGCCGGCCGGGCAAGTGACCCCGGTCCACTCTGGTAGCCTAGCTGTGCTCGATACTCATTTCGTTTTTGGTCATGCATATGCGCTTGCTGATTTTTTGCATGCATAGCTTCTACTACGGCTTCATGAGGATATTGAAAATGCAGTGAACCACTGTCACCGATTGCATCATCTAGAGGCTCTTGGAGCCATGGTGGAGCTCCTAGATCATCGTGTCACAGTGCCCAGTACATGCAGGTATGCCTGTCTGCCATCTTACAGCAAAGTACGGCCTGCTTTTTTTATTTTAATTTTATATTAATTGTTATTGCCTGCCTTTTTTTTTTTTTTCCTCTTTCCCCGCTCTCATTTTCTGTTTAAAAAAGGTCTGAAAAGAAAAGAAGGTATTGCCTTCTCGTGTTTAGCAGTATATGTGGAATCACAGTCACATAGCGGCTTATGCGAAACAGATCTGCTGCTCAAATGACGTTTGTCAAGTTTGCTGTATATTATTTTATTTGTGTTTTCGTTTATTTGTTTGTTGGGTATTGGTGAATTTAAACAGAAAGACATTTATTCTACGTGAGTACTGGTCACACGTGGTTAGCAGAGACCCCCGCTTTTTGGGCTATAGGAAAACAGTGAAAAGGGCATTTGCCATTTGATGATGATTTTGAGTTGTTTTTCTTCCTTGTTTTTTACCCTGTTGTATTTTTGGCGAATGTTTCTGGGTGCGAAGTTCGGTGCTTGCTGTAGCCTTGCAGATAACGGTTTTGGCAAGCCCTGAAAATCCAATAAATCGAAAAAATGACGAGGATTAAAAAGCGTGAAAATCCTGACGACTGTAAAGGGCGAGTTTTGCATGAAAAGTTTGAAAACAAATTTTTGCCTAGGGGTATTTGGCTTGTTTGTGTTTTGTTTATTTTTCCCGTTTTTTCTTTTGCTGTTGGTTTATTTGTTGTCCGCTCTATGGATGGCACGTTTTGTTATTAAGACTACGTAAAAAAACCCTGAATAGGGCTTCTGGTATTGACAAACAAATCAATTGAGCAGTTTCGTTTCGCCCCCCTCCCCCTCCCCGCCATCGATGACCACCAGTTCCGCGCTTTTTTTTTTTTTTTTTTTTTTCCTCGTTCGCACGCGTGTTCGGCCGCGTCTCCTTCCCTACTCATCGACTTTTTCTTCTTCTTCTTCTTCTTCCTCCTCGTCTTCTCCTCCTCTCCTCCTCCTCCTCCTCTTCTTCTTCTTCTTCTTCTTCTTCTTCTTCTTCTTCTTCTTCTTCCCCCCTCACTGCCCGCCGTCGATGACCACCAGTTCGTGCGCGTGTTCGGCCGCGCCTGCTACACGCGTGTTCGGCCGCGCCTCCTCCCCCCTCATCGACTTTTTCGTCTTCTTTTTTTCTTCTTCTTCCTCCTCGTCTTATCCTCCTCTCCTCCTCCTCCTCCTCCTCCTCCTCCTCCTCTTCTTCTTCTTCTTCTTCTTCTTCTTCTTACTCTTACTCTTCTTCGTCCTCCTCTTCTTGTTCCTCTTCCACAGACACACCTGCAAGGTCTGTGACATCCACCATTGACATCCCCCAGACCCCAANCCACCCCCGAACTTCAGTTTTTGTTGCGGATTCGGGGTCCTTTAGTGCAGCGCAGCACAGCCCCACCGTCAGAAAAAAAAAATTATATATTCCTGGCCCTGTTTTTGCGTCGCCCGGTTCACCCGGGCGGACCCCCCCGGGCCCAACCGGCCTGGGCGTCGGGGCAGCCTAGTTTGTTTGCCCTTTCAGATGATGCAACCCTTCATGCAAAATCCTTTTTTCTGCGTACTGGAGGGTACTGTATCAAGTGCAGAGTTTGTTCAACTTTGCTCTCTCTTTTCTGTCTTTGAGGGTTTGTTGTGCAACCTTTTGTTTGTTCTTTATAACATAAGTTTGTGTATTTTGTAGACTCAGAATTTATGTCTGAATCTCCACTCCAAAAGAGAGCGTTTGGGCGGCCACAAGGTCGCTGATTCAGGCTGAGATTCTATGCAAGTGGCAGAAAACAAAGCATTATATGCCGGACGATCTGGACCTGCAGCAGAAAATCAACGCTAAATTTGCAAGTGTATGGCTGGTGGGAGGCAGGGTAGCGGACATAAATGGCTCCTGCATACGGTGGAAAGACTGGCGCAATTCAGAAGCGGGGCTTAGAAGGTAGAAGTCCCAATCGGCAGATCGGCAGGACTGAATACAGGCCACGTAAATTTGATGGAATGGCAGAGAGGAGGATGTCTGCAATGAAACAGTCAACAGCCTACAAGATCAGAGTTCCAGCAGGAAATCCTCGACAAGTTCAGGGGTTTGGCGCCCACATCTCTTAGTCCTTTCTTGGTTTCTCGTTAAATGTGTCAGGTTTGGCAAAATAACCTGAGAGGAAACGTAGAGTGACGGCAAGCTGACAGTCAATCGTCCAGCATTCTGGGGCAAAACAACCTGAGAGGAAAGGAGAGTGAAGGCAAGCTGACAGTCAATCCTTGAGGCTTCTGGAGCAATCAATGCTGCTCAGGGGTCATTCGGCCAAACAGATGGAAGCGGAAGGGTGTTCTTGTTGTACTCCTGACTTGCCGGTGGAACAGGAACCGGACCAGAGCCATAAGGACAAAGAATCTATGGCTGGATATGACAATCCCGGTCCACTTATATTTTCTCTGGTCTCTGGGATACTGCACAGCTGGTCTACTTTTGGTGCTTTCGAACTCGGAATCCGGAGCTGGAGATGTTCTTCAGTCTTGTCTGGATGGATGGAGTGGTCTTGCTCTGTCTTTTCTTCTCAAATTTATATGGTTAATTTTCTCGTCTTTCAGAGGTTGTTTCAGAAGGCACCAAGCTTGGGGTGATGTAGTTGGGTGCTAAGCGTAGGCAACATCCTACTGTTTTTGTTGTATGTTGTGCCAGGTATATTGTTCATATTCTTCTGCAGTCCGTTGGTGAACCTTTGCTTCAGAGACTATGTTGCTCATTGTTGGGATCAGTCATGTCGGTGTTTGAGAGATCACCTACAGCAGAGAATAGTGCACTCCTCGGAGATCAGCTCCAGGTATGTCCTGAACTTCATTTTGAATCGTGCACGGGAGCCAACTGAGTTTCTTGTGGCTGACAACTCTTCGCTTGCCAATATTTCACAAGTTAAATATATGGTATTGAAGTATTTGGAATGCTCATGTTGTTTTGTTTCCAGCCAATTGTGTCCAAGCTGGTGTCCTGCTGCATGGAGGAAGCTGCTGATATTGCTTTGGATAGTCCAGAGAGTCATAATATTGAAAGTCAGGGAGACACCTGTGGTATGGAATCACTGGGTGATTTCAAGGCCCAAGCAACGACATCTTCATCTCCACCGATTGAACTTATAGAAAGGCTTACGGTCGATGCAAGCCCATCATTGCAGGAGTACCTGAAGGTACTCAACATGCCCTTGTCAACTGCCATGACTTGCTGTGTGTCTCTTGTTTGATGCTATTCCACCCAAGCTTTGTTCTCTCATGGTTCAGACAATTTCTTAACTTTTGTGTGCTGCCTTTCTGATTCTGTTTTGGTCAGTTCATCAATGCAGAGAGATGTATTAGGCTTTACTGTCACAGAGAATACATCCTCCAAAATAATGTTGCACGGCGTGCAACCATCAGCCCATAGCTTATCGGAGATGGGCGTCACACTGCACATCAACTTCAATAGTTTTCCTGAAGTTTTTGGTCATTGGATTCTCACAACCACGGACGGGATTGTACGATATGGTGCTTTTTAACGGTTTTGTGCACTCTCCATTTGCGACACGTAAATGGCTTCTTTGCTTTCCTTCTCATGAGCTCTTGGCAATTGTGAGCAGTTTGATTTCTCACTATTGGTGGACAGGCTCTCCTGGAGTCAAGGCAGTTTTGCAGGGCGGATGGTGTCAGAGGAGGCATACTTTTTTCTTTCTGTTCCCGTCGTGTTCTGTGTACTACTACGAAACGCATAGGAATGAGCATCATTAAACCACTAGTACCTCGGAGCCTGTTTTTGCCGACCCTGAATTTCACTGCACTCCGAGTTTTGCCAAGCCCGGGTCCCACTCCATTTTTTTTATGGTACTCTCACGGGAAGAACAACAACAAAAAAAAGGTTGCGGCCGTGGACCTGCACCGAAGTAGATGCATAGGGAAGCAAAGGAGGCAGGCTTTTGGCAGAGATGGGGCCCGTTCCCGCAGATGCTGACGCGGGACCCTAGCACAGGGCAGCTGCAGTTTGGACCGATCTTGCAACACTATGTGCCTGCACCAGAGAAAGAGGGTACAAGCAGCAATCAGTCAGTAGAATAGAATGGCTTTAAGTAGGTAGGAAGTAGGGGGGATGGGAGGATACGGGGGTAGACGGAGTTAGGAAGCCGGTAGAAGGCAAAGTAGGGAGGGGGAAGAGGGTTAAGAGCGGATGGAAAAAGGGAGGAGGGGGACCCAAAAATGGGGAAAAAGGGAAAAGATAGAGTGAAGGATACGGGGTTAACCTGGATTGATGAACATATTGCTGGGGACAAGACCAGAGGGCGGTGTAAATAGAATGAGGGTGAAATGAGAGGTTTGAAAAGCCTGGATTAGAAGTGGGGAAAGGGCAAGAGGAGAGAGGTGATAGCAAAGACAAAGGAGACGGGAGTAAGAATTAGAGGAAACTTAAGCATACAATAGGCAGTCGGGTATAAGGAAGCAACTAGATTAAAAGAGTGTAGTAGTTATAAAAAAGAAGGGTTTGAACAGAGGGTGTGACTGATAGGATGGATAAAGGAGATTGGTGTAAAAATTAGACAAGATTTAAGGACTCGATAGGAAGCCGGGAATGGGAAGGATCTAGACTAAAAGAGTGTTAGTAGGTACAAAAAAGATGGTTGAACACAGGGTGGGACTGACAGGATGTGAGGCCCGTGAGACTGCTAGAACGGCCCCCCCGGGCCAGGCCTTCCCTGGGGACCCTTCTGTTGTGTGGCTGGGTGCTGCTAGGAAGCCTCCCGACCAACAGAGATATCCCTGGGGAGGCTATGGTATGGGAAGAGGGTTTGGTTGTAGCAATCCCCCCCTTGTTAGGCGCCTAGGGCCACAAGGGTAAGGCTTTCCTCTTTTCCTACAAATAATTTGTACTTTGAAACTCATGCTTGCCGGTGATAAGCAACCGGACTGATGCCCCCCAGAATAGAAGGGGCGGAGTTGTTGTTAAAAAAAAAAAGGAAAAAAAAAAAAGGAAAGAAACTCACAAAGCAAGAAAACAAAAAAAAATTAAACAAAGCTCTAACTGTGATTGCTGTTGTATACATTCTTGGAAGTGGCCATGTGAGTGTGCCCTCAGTGAGGGATCTCAGCCCTGTGGCCAGTTTGTCAGATTCCAGAAACACAAAACAAGAAGAAAAAAACGGAAACAAGGATTCGGCCGTGAAAATGGATGGATAAGTTCCACTTAAGGGGCAGTGTGATCACGGTTTCAATCCTTGAGGAAAATATAACAGACCTGTTGTGCTTATGTTGCTTGCTATAGAGTTAAAAGACCGTAAAACCGTTTCATTGTTGGATTGGCTAATCTTTAGTTTGCTTTATTGGCAGCTATAGGGTTAAAGCTGATTCGGTTTTGGATCTACTCAAATGGGTGGAATGGGGGCCATTGTGGTGGCAATATACAACACACCCCAAGGGGCAGACTGTCAGTGTTTGACCCACTATCGAGTCGATGGAAGTGCGACTAAAACAGTCTGGTACAGACATGCTTCTTTCGGGGAAATGTGTATAGCGAACATGACAACACACACACACACACACACACACACACACGCACACACACACACACACACACACACACACAAACATCTGCGCATCTCGGTGGAATACGGTTAGTTGTGATGACAATCTATAACGCTCACACAAACAGTCTGCAATGGTGTCCCCTGCTGTGGCATACTGCGCAGCCACACAGGCCTGCGAGGCCTGACCAGATGGAAAATAACGGCCCTACAGGCCCTGTATCGTTTCAGCCTAAAAGCCTGAAAACGAGGGCCATTTTCAGGCCCTCATAAAGTTAACCTGCCCTGAAACTCAGGCTCCAGACCAGAGTTTAGCACAGGCCAATTTTGGGCCTGTTTCAAGACAACCTTTGTTTGAACTTCAACGCCGGGGTCTGGCACGTTTCGGCATTGGCAAGAGCAGCCTCCCGAACGGGCCAGCACTATATAGAACTGGCCCGCCCTGCAGGCTGCAGGTAGCTCATAGGAACTTCCCAGGCAGTTCATGGGCACTTCATGTGCAGGAGGCAGGAAGCAGTCTTCAGGATTTGGCAGCAGCACTCTGGAGAGCACTCTGGAGGAGCGCTGCAGGAGTAGTAGTAGCGTTAGCGCTGGGCGCTATTATGAGCTAGAGTAGCGTTGGAGAGAGAGAGAGGGGGTTGGCGGAGGCCAGGGAGACTTACCTGGCCAGGGAGACTTACCTGTGGCGCCATAGCTCCAGGTTCGTCTTCGATGTACCTGTATCAAGGCGCCGCCTTCACAGGTTAGTACCGGACTCTGAGAGAGAGAGAGAGAGGGAGAGAGAGAGAGAGAGTTCTTCTTTTTCCTCTTCTAAGTCCACCATCTCTCCCTCACCCTCTCGCCACCCGACTTCTCAGTATCTGCGGACTACGAGAGAGAGAGATTGGCGACTTTTGGACTTGACGACATTTGGATCCAGACTCGACATTGGGATTGAGACATTGGACGAGGGATTAATTGGGACCTGTACCGAAGACTTGGTGGTCGACATTCCCATATTTCCCCTCTTCTTCGTCTAACCCCCCTCTTCTTCGTCTGTGTATGGTTGGGGACTGGCGCATTCTTCCTGTGTGAGCGCCAGGCCCCTTCACACCATGGAATGATGATGATGTATGCCTGGTCTGCATTGCGACATTGATTGGTCTGATCATTGGTATTTTAGCCTTCCACTGCGCTATCTTGTACTATGTGAGAGAGGTCGGTTCTTGTTCTGGTCTGCCCCTTTACGGTATGCGACAGTTTGGTATCGGAGCGGACCTCTCAGTCAGAGGATCCGCCCAATCAAGAAGCCAGGTTGCTTGATCGACTGATTGTCGACTGATTGATTGATTGATTGATTGACTGATTGTTTCTAAGTGAATCAAGTAGGATAGTAGGACTCCATCAAATCTCTGCAAAAAAAAAAAAAAAAAAAAAAAAAATCGCAACTTCGGATATTAGCATTTCGTTTCTGTCTACGCATAGTAGTTGAACTAGGGAGGTTGTCATATTCTCAGACTGGATCTATACTTCAGATTTCTTCTCTGAAAGTGGAACCTCCAGTCTATTTCGTGCGAATTTTTTTTTTCCCAAGATCGCATTTCGGACAGCCGAAACTTTGCGAAACCTTGCCTAGATCTTGCTCATAGTACTCCTCTGAAATGCCTCAATCATAGCAGATTGACACATATACAAAAAAAAAAAAAAAAAAAAAAGGGGGGGGGGGGTAATCCTCTTCTTTTATCTTTTATTTTTATTTTTACAAGTGGACCTGCCGCAGCGACGCTGCGGCTGAGGAGAGGGGAGAGGAGGCGGAGGTTGATGAGTGCAGGAGAGGAGAGATGCAACAGTGGCTGGCCTTTGCTTTCGAGGTGTTTTTTTTTTGCGCGGTCATGGTCAGGTTTTGAAAATTCGGGCATATCTCACATTGTGTTCGGGGGTGAAGAGAAAAACACAAAGTTTGAAGTTTGATGGGTAAATACATGGCAATCAAAGTAGAAGATGAGATCATGAAAAGCATACTCACCATTCGAAACTGGAAAGCCAGGGCGAAGGGGAATTTGATCATTTACACGGAGATTCTGTCTTTCTTAGTGTGTGTTTGTCACACACATGCACATATGGAG